TGGAAACAGGCCCTTTCGCCTAAACTGGTGCATGCTGACCATAGTGTCCACTCAGCTAGTTCCAATTGCCTGCATTTGGGCCATATCCCTGTGAACCCATCCCATCCATGTACTTATCCAAATGTTTTTTATATGCTGCTATTGTACCTGCTTCAACCACTTTCTCCGGCAGCCCATTCCATATACGCACCACTCTCTGCATGAAGAAGTTGCATCTCAGGTCCTTCTTAAATCTTTCCCCTCTCATCTTAAACCTATCCCCTCTAGTTTTCAACTCCCCATCCCTGGGAAAAATCCCATCGTGATTTTATACACCTCAATAAGGTCACCCCTCATTCTCCTACTTTCCTGGCCAACCTCTCCCTATAACTCAGGTCTACTGGTCCTGGCAACATCCTCATAAATCTTCTTTGCACACTTTCCAGTTTAACTATGTCTTTCCTATAACAAGGTGACCAAAACTGTAGACAATGCTCCAAGTGCAGCCTCACCAACAACTTATACAACTGAAACATAATGTCCCAATTTCTACACTAAATGCCTTGACCGATGAAGGCCAGCATGTTAAATGCCTTCTTCACCACCCTGTCTATCTGTGATGCCACTTTCAATGAACTATGTACTTGTAATCCTAGGTCTCTCTGTTCCACAACACTCCTCAGGACCTTACCAATTACTGTATAAGTCCTATCTTGGTTTGACTTTCCAAAGTGCAACACCTCACACTTATCTGTATTGAATTGCATTTGCCAATCCTCACCCCACCTGATCAAGATCCTCTGTAATTTTTGATAACCTTTCTCATGATCAATGATACCTCCTAATATTGTATCATCTGCAAACTTACTAATCGTGCCTTGTACATTCACATTCAGATCAAAAACAAAGAAAAGAACAAAGAAAATTACAGAGATAGTAGGTGCTGCAGATGATGGAGAATCCGAGACAACAAGGTGCAGAGCTGGATGAACACAGCAGGCCAAGCAGCATCATAGGAGCAGAAAGGCTGACGTTTCGGGCCGAGACCCTTCATCAGAAATGGGGGAGGGGAAGGGGGATCTGAAATAAATAGGGAGAGAGGGGGAGGCGGATAGAAGATGGATAGAGGAGAAGATAGGTGGAGAGGAAACAGACAGGTCGAAGAGGCGGGGATGGAGCCAGTAAAGGTGAGTGTAGGTGGGGAGTTAGGGAGGGGATAGGTCAGTCCAGGGAGGACGGACAGGTCAGGGGGGCGGGATGAGGTTAGTAGGTAGGAGATGGGGGTGCGGCTTGAGGTGGGAGGAGGGGATAGGTGGGAGGAAGAACAGGTTAGGGAGGCGGGGACGAGCTGGGCTGGTTTTGGGATGCAGTAGGGGGAGGGGAGAGTTTGAAGCTTGTGAAATCCACATTGATACCATTGGGCTGCAGGGTTCCCAAGCGGAATATGAGTTGCTGTTCCTGCAGCCTTCGGGTGGCATCGATGTGGCACTGCAGGAGGCCCAGGATGGACATGTCGGCTGAAGAATGGGAGGGGGAGTTGAAATGGTTTGCGACAGGGAGGTGCAGTTGTTTATTGCGAACCGAGCATAGGTGTTCTGCAAAACGGTCCTCGAGCCTCCGCTTGGTTTCCCCGATGTAGAGGAGGCCACAACGGGTACAGCGGATGCAGTATACCACATTGGCAGATGTGCAGGTGGTGGAATTTGAATTCACTAAAATATCTGGAATTAACAGTCTAATGATGAAAATGAATCCACTGTCGATTGTCGGAAAAACCCATCTGGTTCACTTATGTCCTTTAGGGAAGGAAACTGCAATCCTGGGATAACAAGGTGTAGAGCTGGATGAACACAGCAGGCCAAGCAGCATCAGAGGAGCAGGAAGGCTGACATTTTGGGCCTAGACCCTTCTTCAGAAATGGGGGAGGGGAAGGGGGTTCTGAAATAAATAGGGAGAGAGGGGGAGGCGGATAGAAGATGGATAGAGGAGAAGATATGTGGAGAGGAGACAGACAGGTCAAAGAGGCGGGGATGGACCTTGTTACCTCATATTCTCCAGCATCTGCAGTTCCTACTATCGCTGAAACTGCCATCCTTACCTGGTCTGGCCTACATGTGACTTCAGACCCAAAACAATGTGGTTGACTCTGAACTGCCCTCTGGGCAATTAGGGATGGGCAATAAATGCTGCCTAGCCAGCGACACCCTCATCCCATTAATGAATAAGAAAAATCATGTATTCCAGTGGATAAATGATTGTAACAAATGCCATTAGACTCATGGTGAGCACATTGTAGCCAGGGGACTTCAGCACCACCTCTCCAGGTTTGTGTAACCATCCCCAGCTTCACAGCCTCTGGAATATCAACCTTCACTGAAGTTCAAGGTCACTATTCTGGTCACAGCTCAGTGTGAAATTGTTCTATAGGTCACTATTCCGGTCATAGTTCAGTGTGATATTGTTCTATAGGTCACTATTCTGGTCACAGTTCAGTGTGAAATTGTTCTGTAGGTCATAGGAACAGTAAGGACTGCAGATGCTGGAAGTCAGAGTCGATAAAATGTGGAGCTGGAGGAGCACAGCAAGTGAGACAGCATTAGAGGAGCAGGAAAGTCGACATTTTGGGTCTGGATCCTTCATCAGGGACTGGAGGAAGGGAGGTGGGATGGTGATAGGTGGATGCAGTCAGGGGTTTATTGAGATTGTCAGTGGGAAGGATGGAGCGGATAGATCAGAAGAAAGATGGGCAGGTTGTGTCAGGTCAAGGAGGCAGGAATGAAAGGGAGAGCTGGACATGGGACAAGGCTTGGGGTGGGGAGATTTTGAAGCTGGTGAACTGTATGTTAAGGCCATTGGGTTGTAAGCTTCCAAGGTGTTGTTCATCCAGTTTACATGTGGCCTCATTGTGACAGTGCAGGAGGCCCAGGATAGACATGTTGCCGAGGGAGTGGTCGTGGGAGGGGGAGTTGAAAATGGCTGGCAACCAGAAAGTGGTGTTGATTGGAGCATAGAGAGCACAGATGCTCCGAGAATTGGTCACCGAGTCTGCACTTGGTCTCTCCGATATTGAGGAGACCATTTCAGGAGTAATGGATGCAATAGACCAGGTTAGAAGATGTACAGGTGAATCTCTGCTGATTTTCTGGGTTCTTAGATGGAGATGAGCGAGAAGGTGTTGGGGCAGGTGTAACATTTCCTGTGATTGCAGGGAAAGGTGCCGGGTATGGTTGAAGACTAGGTAGGGAGTGTGGAGCTGATGGGGGAGTCGCGGATTGAAAGGTCCCTACGGAAAGCAGATAGGGTGGGGAAGGAAATACCTTTTTGGTGGTGGGGTCTGATTGCAGGAGGCGAAAATGGCGGAGGATGGTGCGTTGGATTTGGAGATTGGTGGGATAGTATGTGAGGACCAGGGGGACACTATCTTTATTGTTGCTGGGGGGAGGAGGTTTGAGAGCAGAAGTGTAGGAAATGCAGGAGATGTGGTTGAGGGCATTATGAATCAAAGAAGACGGGAAATTATGGTCCTTCAAGTAGGAAGATGTCTGGGACGTCAGGGAGTGGAATGTTTCATCCTGGGAGCAGATGCGGCGGAGGCAGAGGAATTGGGAGTACGGGATCGCCTTCTCACATATCTGCCCCACCCTTCCCACCAACTAATCCCTACAAACCCCTACCTGCATCCACCTATCACCATCCCATCTATCTTCCTCCAGTCCCACCCCTCCCTCTATCTATTTCTGAGCTCCCTTCCTCCTTCCCAGTCCTGATGAAGGGTCCAGATCTGAAATGGTGACTTTCCTGCTCCTCTAATTCTGTCTGACCTGCTGTGCTCCTCCAGCTCCACAATGTATCAACTCTTGTTCTATAGGTCACTATTCTGGTCACAGTTCAGTGTGAAGTTGTTCAATAAGTCACTATTCTGGTCACAGTTCAGTGTGAAATTTGATCTACAGGTCACTATTCCGACCACAGTTCAGTGTGAAATTTGATCTACAGGTCACTATTCTGGTCACAGTTCAGTGTGAAGTTGTTCTATAAGTCACTATTCCAGTCACAGTTCAGTGTGAAATTTGATCTACAGGTCACTATTCC